ATTCCTCCTGGAAGAAGGACCAATCTTCCTTACTCTATATAGAAATTGTATGTGCGCTCATTATGGAGCCTATACCAACAGCTGTTACAATCATGTGAGTCTCTGGCCACATAAATGGATTGAGCAAAGTTAAGATATGAATACAACATTCAGTGGGCAGAAAAAAAGTCACGAAACTGCAGATTAGATCAGCAAAAAGTATGGGTACTAAGATGTTATGTGAAAATAACACACAAAAAATGAGAAGAATGAGATAGAACAACCTTTTTCAACCAGGGTTCCATGGAATCCTAGTTTTCTTCTAGAGGTTACTAGCGGTTCCCTAAGCAAAGAACAACTTCTGCCTATCAGAAAAGTTTCTACTGATACCAATAATCTTTTAAGCTGTCTGTAAGTTGGGAATTCTTCCCACTGACAACACATGTAATAAACATTCTTCCCACTGACCATCACGCTAATGTATTGAGCAGTAGATATAGTCCATCAGGAAACTTGCCCTGACTAATGCTATGCAGGCATCACTGAAGTGCATGCATACTGTCAAGAAGTGGATACCATGAGGCTGCAACAAATGCTAAAATAGGAGAAAAAGGGTATTTTATTTAAAACACATGCAGTTGTTTATGATACACAGTTATAAAGTTATAAAACATCCGGTACTTTAAGCACAGTTGCAGCGATATATATGATGTAATTTTTTTCTCCAACCTGTGATTGACTGTTCGGTGTAAGTGATCAGGGCAGCTCTACAGCCACCTGATCACTTTTACAGTGGTCAGAAGGGCTGTCCCCCACCATTCCCAAGCTCTCCAATTCCTCTGGTGAGCCTGGGACCACGGTAAATCAGTGGATCAGAGAACATCCATTTCCTGATTACCCCTGCAACTAATAAACACAGGAGTGCCGTGTATTGCGTAACTTCCTAGTTCACAGCGATCATTTCGTGGCTATTGTAGCCAAGGATACAGCTAGTCAAGCATGATCTGTGTTTGGTTAGCTGCATTGGAGGGCATGGGAGTCATTGGGAGTCTAATAGACTCCGTGGGGTTTATTTACTAAAGGCAAATGGGCTGTTTACTTTGCAAAGGGAATTTGCCCCAGAGCTTAGTGAATTTCACTTTGCAAAGAATACCCAATCACATGCAAGGAAAGTACAAAACAAAAAATGTTTGTATATGATTGGATGATGGAAGTCAGCACAGCTTTCCCTCATTCACTAAGTTCTGGGGAAATTCCTTGCAAAGTACAGCTTCTGTTGCAAAGTGAATATCCTTTTTGTCTTTAGTAAATCAACCCCCTGATGTCTCCATAAAGAGTACGTGTCGCCTACCCATGCTATCACATAGGGAGCTTGTTAGCCCCGGTTGTGATAGCAAAAAAGTTGAATGAAAAAAAATTTAAAAATGTAAAAAAAAAAAAAAAAAGGTTAATGAGCTTCTTTACTCCTGGCACTGATACTACAAAACTTTAATAAAGCAATAAAAAAACAATCATTATAAAAAAATGGACCCTCAAATGTTTTATTTCAGAAACATACCAAAACATAATATTGCATAACATGAAAATAATCAATATATGTCTTATGATTTTCACACTGGATTTCTTTTTCAAACAGTAAAAGAAAGCTATAATAAAATATATTTTCCTATTCCTTCTCTATAAAACTGTATTGTAATTGTACTGAACCCCTTATATTGTAAAGCGCTGTGTAAACTGTTGATGCTTTTTAAATCCTGTATAATGAAAATAATAATTTCCAAGAATAGTTTGATGAAAGAGTCTGACAACCCTCTTTTCAATAGCATTTGGCCTATGGTTCTCTATATGCCAATTACAGTGATAAGATGGATAAGCACTGCTGCTTTGTAGCAGTCATCCAGAGAATTTTGTATGTATTATATTTTTTATACAGAGTTTTTAGGTATCCTGGTAACTTTCTACAGTTCGAGAACATGCTAAGATTGAAATTTGCGTGTGATGTCTAACAGTGCAATTTGAGTTTTACATCTGCAAGGAACAATGCATTTGGCTGTTTACCATTTACCACTTTTGCCCAGGCTGTCTCCCAAGGTCTACTCATAGGCCATGGCCCACAGCAAGTGGGAGCAAACAGAACTTCAACATTTTTCATGAATGAGTAAATGATTAAACTTTAAGTGTATCTATGGCTCAAACTCATTTTAGCTTTGAAAAAATATTTATTTTTGCTGTGTTTTTTTTTCCATTGAGGAGATTTTGCTGTCTGGGAGGCACAACAGAAAATGAGTGTAAATCTCCCAAACATCAGTGTAAATACCTTCTTTGGCAGTTGTTGCTAGAAAAGGTGTTCTCACTGGAAGACTTCCTATCTTCTCCTGTTCTGAAGACAATTACAACGTTTTGGATTGCCCATCACATTCTCTCCTGCTGACATTGCCAAATAGACAGGACAAATAGAGAGGGTGATTCTCTCCATCAGAAAATTGTCTGTGGGAGCTTTTAATATCAGAGTGATGGCCAGGATGACCAGAATCTCTGAAGGCAATGAATCTACTCACAAATAGGGGGAAGCATGGGAAATTTGTGATTAAAGACCAGATCAGAGGAATTATACAGTACTTGATCTGCATTATTTTTACATGCATAATTAAAGTGGTAGTAAACCATGGCAAAAAAAAAAAAAATACCCTGCAACGCAATGGCATAATGTGCTAGTATTCATTGCATACTAGCACATTAATGAAACACTTACCTTAGAACAAAATCCTCCAGTGGTGCGCTGTCACCACTGATAGGGCTTCCATATTCACCCGGTCTTCCATCCAGGTTCACGGGCTCCGGCAGCTTTAATGGCTGAGCAACAATGACATCATTCTTGCCCAAGCGCATGGGAGTCAGGGGCAATGGTACAGTGCTTTGAGGGAATGGCACGGGTATGCCGTTCCTTCAGAGTGCATGTGCTGGTGACGTCACTGGCTGCCAAAAGAGTCAATATCTCCTATATGGTACATGTTTAGGAGATATTCATTCTATCTACAGGTAAGCTTTATTATAAGCTTACCTGAAGGTAAAATCATGAAGGGGACTTTACTACCACTTTAATAACCTCCATAGCGGGGCCCCCTCTCCCACTCTCAGGACTCCTCTCCCATTCTTAGGACTCTAGACGCTATGGCTGTAGTTATGTCACTGTTCATGATGCACCTTTTCTACCAGTTACTGTTTCTAAATGCTAAATGAAAAACTTCCTCTCTGCATGCATTTACAAGCCCTGTTTCCATCTATGAATGTTGTGTGTTAGCTTAAAATTTTATGAGGTTGGGAAAAGCAAGAACCTCTTTTAGATTACTAAGGATTTGTTTCTTCACTTCCCATCACCATCACCACAGAGATAGTGAGGGAAATCTCTCCAGCTGGGCCAAAGTCAGTAGTAAATCCTAACAGAGGATCTATTCCTTCCTTTATCTATCCAAAACATATTTTTTTTAATTTTGATTTTGGTTAGAGGTAAGCTTAAATGCTGATATGAACAGTATTCATGGTTAAAATGATCTGTATACAATCACATAAGGGCAGATACATCAATGTTAGGCCTACTCAGTTTTATCAAATTCATCTCAGCTTACTCGAGTCAACGTTAACACAGTTGAGTATTATCTATGATCCTTTTTTTATTTGCACTAACTGTTAAATTTTCAGGACACGATTTTGCTCCCCCCTCCCCTCCCTTCTGCTAAGGTCCAAAGCAGTACTCCCTTTTTCTATATTCAATGACATTGTCCAAATATAGCCATATCAGGTCAATGATGTCGTGAGCTCCATTGCTTATTTGCAACATGTAGCTGTGGGACGGTGAAGGCCATGGCCCCGGCTCATTTGGCCCTGATTTGGCTTGCTTTAGGTTCAGTCCAAACCAAAGTTTGGAAAAAAATTAGAAAGTAGAATTAGGTGTTAATTTCCTGGTATCATATGATTGAGACAAAGGCATTACTTCAATGAAAGCTGCATTTTAAAAATATTGAATGCTACTTTTGGGATTACTTTGTTATCCCTAGATATAGATATTTTCCCTAGATATTTTAACATACAGATGTTAATATCTATATGAGACCTTAGTGATTTTATGGAGAACAATAGTCCATTACCTTGTCCCTGTGACCTGCTTTGATCTCAGCAGATGAATGAATACAGTGTACGATTAATGAAAGATTTACTACCTTTTGTCACCAAAACATAAATGATTGAATATCAATTGTCCATGTTTCGAACCTCTTCTATCAGAATTGCTTATGACCATATGCCAATTACGCTGTATTCAAAGTGAAAGTATGCATTACTTGCAATGATATCTCCATCTCTATGAATATATGCTGCATATGAAAAAAGAAAGTACTTCTAGAAACCAAAGATTCTATTTTTAAAGAAAAGAATCTACTTTATAGAGAAAAACCTTTTAAATTCTACAGTTACAACACACACACATACTACAATACTCTGTACAATTATTATTATTATTATACAGGATTTATATATCGCCAACAGTTTGCTCAGCGCTTTACAATATAATGGGAGACAATACAGCAACAATACAGTTCAATACAAGAGGGTTAGGAGGGTCCTGCTCCTTGGAGCTTACAATCTAACAATTAAACCAAAAAAGGGTCTAGCTGCTTTAATGAATTCAGTGAAATATATAGCTCTAACCATGCAGTTAAAACACCAGGCAAATAGCTAAATACAGATGAAATTCACATATTGCATATATGCATATATTGGAGCTGATTTACCTGCTAAAGGATTTTTATTTCTTTCCATCTAGTCCTGAGACTTATACAGCTCTGCTATCCAGCACAGCCTTGTTCAGCAGAGAAGTGGACCTGATCTTTCTCTGCTGAAGTTTCACTTTAACTTTCAGGTCTTCTTCCCACCCCCCAGGCTAGGGGCGGACTGACCATTTGGAAACTCGGGCACCGCCCGAGGGCCCGGAGTCAGTAGGGGGCCCCATGAGATGCCCCTGGTACCTTTTTCATAGGCTTTTTTGAGTTTGGGCAAGGACATAGGGGCCCCATGATCCCCTATTGCCCGGGGGCCCCATGAGTTGTCAGTCCGCCCCTGCCCCAGGCCTGACTGGACATTGAAAGCAGAAACAGTAGTTTTTTTTTAGCTCATCGCACCATCATGTTGCACTTTCCTCCTAATAGCATGCTCTTCGTATTTTAGCACACCTAACTAGTTTCTTGTACTATTTATATCTCCTCCTTCTGTGAATCTTCTGTACAGTAGATTGCAAAAGGCAGAAACAAAGTCAAAATCAAGTACTTAGCCTGCTTGAATAAATACATTTAATGATATATCAGTGAACACAGATCCGCAATAGTGTGCATTAGGTGCCTGGAGTTTTAGGATTTTTAGGCAATTGACTATAACTATCATTTCACAATTGGTTTGTGGTTTTATTTTTAAATGTTCATTGAAGCTTGGATTAGATTTAGTGTCATCCTTTTGTAGGTGAGTTGCGTGTCTACTGAATGGATTAGCACATTCTGCCCAAGGAATACATCTCTACTAATTGGAGCTGAATGCTCTGTAAATGTCTCATGTTACATTGCAGGTAAATCCGTCCTTGACCATGTCTGGTTAAACAAGCTGCATGGCATGTGAGGACATTCCTATACACAGTACACACATGTGGGATTTATGCCCAGTGATGACCAGCTGTCTGTTCATCCCATCTGTTTATATATATTTCTGACATCAGAGCTAATCTAATGTTTATTAATGTGGCGTCACCCCTGTTGACCCAGCACAGGTTGTTGAGTCATGATATGGAGATAATATGGTTACTCAAAAATGTCAAATTATTTTTATTTACTTGCAGCAGAAGAGCTAATACAACTTTTCAAAGTTGTTACAAAAGTGACAGCCACTGCCTACAGATTCTGGTTGGCTGTACACAGTGAAACGAGCAATGGATAGAGAGAGTTGTGCTGGCTCATCCATACTGCAGAGATACCAGTACCTACCATGACTTTTCTTTCCAAATTGCCCAACAGTCTTTACAAATTGACTGAGCCTGGTAAAAGGCGTATTCCCTCACTTATGGAAAAAGGAGACTGAGAGTTCTGGCCTGCTCACACCATGGAAATGCATGATTCTCTTCCACCGTGAGTCAGCAAACTGATTATACAGGTGATAACACAGGCGATTCTCAGAAAGTATGGCTTAATACTTCAAACTACTGTGCCATACAACACAGAACAAAACGAGGTTGCAGAAAGAATGTGTGAGAATGGAAGAACCATGCTGTTTGATGCAGTTATGCCAACCACCTACTGGAGAAAACTCCATATAAACTGTGGAATAAAACGGTCCTGAATTTGAACCCAACAGAAAAATGTACAAAATGGGATGCTTGCGCAAAGGAAAGTGTACTTGTGGGGTACAATGAATCTTAAAAAGTATATACAATTCTACACCAAGACACAATCAAGGTAACCATCAGTAGAAGTGTAATTGTCATTGGAACTTCAGAGTGTTCAAAATTTCATGAATGGACATAAATGCTTAAAATTGAGGGAAATTCCATATCAGTATCACATGAAGAAAAGCGACAAAGAGACACAGAAATAGAAATTAATAAAGACAATCCAAATACTGTAAAAGTAGAAACCAGGCCACAAAAAGCTTCAATCAGGAAATCACCAGAAGCAATAAAGTCATCCCTGCCAAACACCTGTCCTATGTCACTCATGTAGCAAACCAGAGCCAGAATTATGAGATGAAATGCAAAGACTTCCAACCTATGAGAAACAAAAGTGAATCAGAGTTGCTGATGAAAAGATCCGAAATGGGACTAATATAAGGAGTAGTTGTTGATTGGAGATGTTGGAATACAGTGTTCATGTATTTTGTGCAACAGCTACATCAGTATTCAGTAGAGATATATTCTTCACCCAGTAGATGGTAGTGTTTATACTTTTGTAGCTGCATCTATGGTATTGTACTTTGTGTCACAAGTGTAATAAAAGCACCACACCCTTAATACTTTAAAGCAGCAATTCCACCTCAAAGAAACCAAATAAATTTCTTAGTGCTATAACTTAAATAAAGGAATGCGCTAAAACCACAAACTATTCCTAATTTAGTGTAGAAACATTAGTGCAAAAGATATATATATCTATTCTCAATTAATATCAAAAAATATCAAAATTATGTGCAAAACTATTTTTTAGTGCATAAGTAATTTAAATAATTAAATTTGTGAATATAAAAAAAATGTCCAATTCTGAATTTCTTCAAATATCTAAACAAATCCTTTTCAAATTCAGGTGCTCTCAAAGAAATTGTGCCAAAATCCACCACCAAAGTAAAGTTGGGTAACTCACCAGAGCTCCATGCTGATCAATCTCTAGATTTTTGCTCTGGGAGCAGATGCAATGAATCAACTTCTCAGGTGTGATGACCAATAGCTACACAATCATCCATAAGGTAGGTATCCACCACTCAATATAATGGTTTCAGGAGCATTATATCACTCTCTCTTTTTATATCTCTCCACCGAGGTTACAGCGCTCGTGACTCAATTTTCTCCACAGACGTCGGCATCCAGCAAGCCAAGCCCAGGGCTATATACAGAATCTCTAACAGTTCTTTTTTTTTTTGCTTTATTTATCTTTTTCCTTAACCAATTGCCCTCCTGAGGAATTACCCCCCTCCTGACAGGCCATTTTTTACGTTACGGCGCTACATTACTTTAACTGACAATTGCGCGGTCATGCAACGCTGCACCCAAATGAAATTTATGTCCTTTTTTTCCTACAAATTGAGCTTTCTTTCAGTGGTATTTGATCACCCGTGTGTTTTTCATTTTTTGTGCTATAAAAAAAAAAAAAAAAAGCCAACAATTTTTGACTTTTTGCGATTAAACATATCCAGTAAAAAAATGAAAAAAAAATCAAATTTCGTCATAAATTTACCCCAATATGTATTCTGCTACATGTCTTTGCTAAAAAAAAAAAAATTCCAATACGTGTAAATTAATTGGTTTACGTGAAAGTTATTCAAATGGCGGTATAAAAACTGGGATTTTTTATTTGTTATTTTTACTAATAATGGCGACTTATAGTGGGACTGCGGCGGACATTATGACACTGGGAGGAACTGACTTGGTGTCACTGACATCCCCGGTGACACCAATACAGTGATCACTGCTAAAAAAAAAGCACTGACACTGTACTAATGGCACTGGGTAGGAAGGGGTTAACATAATGGGAGATTAAAGGGTTAACTGTGTGCAGGGAGTGTTTTATTAGGTGGCTGTGTCTGTGTGCTTCACTGTAATCACACTGCTCTGGATGACTGTGCTGTGCAGGGAGGAGAACTGTTAGTAAACAAAACAGTTCTCCTCCCCATCGAAGATCTTCAGAAATCACTGCGAGTAATTACCGTCCGGGACCCGGTGATTGACAGCCACTGCCGTGAATGGCAGCGCAGGTAGGGTGTGCACACGCCCCCTACCTGGAAATGCAAAATCACGTATATATACACTTGATTTTGCACACCTCTACTGCCCTGTAGCAGTATATCTGCTATAGGGCGGCCGGGAAGCAGTTAAAGTCTTCCATCCTGCCCCCACCCCTTGCACGTCTCTCACCTAGGTGAATGAGATGAACTATGCTCCCTTTGTCTTTTGGGATATGCATGTCACATATCCTAGGAGGCATAGCCTTCCGTTCAATAAAGGAGGAGGGGGCTGGCCTAATGGCACGTCATCAGAAGGTAGGCCAGCTGAACCCGGAAGAGGCAGCAGCCTCCTGATGACATCACACAAAAACATGGCGGAAGACTGAGTGGTGGCAGAAGAGGATCTCAGCAGGACAATGCTGGATCCGCTGGGTGGGTGAGTGTCTGAAGAAGGCACGGCTCAGTAAGCAGGGGTTTAGAGAAAAAGATTGGGGGGAGGGTGAAGATCTGCTTTAAGAATGCTGTACATTCTACTTTCTTCACTGCAACACCTAAAAAGGTCTCCCTTCCACATCTACAGAAAATTCAGTTCTGTTCTGCCCTTTCATATAATTTTTTTTTTTTTTTTCACTGCCTGCCAGCACATTTTGCGGAGCTTCAATGAGTACATGGGTACCCTAGTTTCCTCCCATAGACAAAAGACATACTGGGTTTCCCCTAGTATGTGTGTGTCTGTTGTTACAGTATACAAATGTGAGATAGGAATCTTAGATTTTAAGCATCTTGAGGGGAGAGGCTGATATTAATGTACAATATGGAAGATGTTGCATAAATTGACAGTGCTACATAAATCAGAATAAAGCAAGGTGCAGCGCTAAAATGATATATTAAAATAGATGGACATGTAATATTCAAACATCCTCATATAAAATACAATAACACCAATACCAAGGTGCAAGTAAAAACGTCACCTAATGGTGACTAATAGGTGATTGGGCACTAGACCAAATACAGTTTATAGCGTGAGTAGAAAAGATTCCAAATGATCTTCAAATATCTTCAAATGGCTGGATCCGTAGGTGAGGTGATGGATGTATAAAGATTGCGCACTCACCAGATACGCAATCCCAATGCGCATTTAGAGTAGATAATCTCAGGACATCAAGGTTTAAATAGTGCCTTTTTGGTGTTCAGCTGCTGTTTTCTTCCTTTCAACTCATTTATAATTTTACTCTAGCGCTCACTTACCCTGTGATTTACAGTGCTACATAAATGCCTGTAATTACTAAAAATACATTTGTAAACTCACTTAAATATCATATAAGCATTAAGATGTTAATGTAAATTCAGTGTAACGTAATTTCAAATTTCTTTTTTTAACAGCTCAGCTTAAAATTTAATTTAGAATTTAGAATACTACATTTCTAATACAATGTGGCACAGTAGCTTATTGGTTAGCATTTCTGCATCGCATCAATGGGGTCATCATTTCAAATTCTCCAAGGACACTATCAGCATAAAGTTTGCATGTGCTTACTGTACTTGAATAGCTTTCCTTCAGGTACTCTGATTTCCTCCAATACTCCAATGACATGCTGGTAGGTTACAGCGACGTTAAAGCTTCTTTTTAAAAAAAATTTAAATAACATACAAATCATACTTAGCTGCTCTGTGCAATGGTTTTGCACAAAACAGCCCTGATCCTCCTCTTCTCGGGTGCTCCAGGCTCACTCAGCGAGTGTCCGCATAGCAGGACACTTTCATAGGGGCACCTGTACGGGTTCATTCCTGAGCTGCTCTGTCTGCATCCATTGACAGAGTGGGCGGCTCAGCCCCGCTCCCTGTTCGCTCAGAAGAGGATATGATTGCCAGCAGCAGGAGCCCTTGATATCAATCTATCTAGGGAGGAGGGAGACAGTGTTCTTGTGCACATCGCTGGATCGGATCAGGTAAGAATAAAGGGGGGCTGGGGCAGGGGCGGACTTACAACTCATGGGGCCCCCTGGCATTAGGGGATCATGGGGCCCCTGTGTCCTTGCCCAAACTCAAAAAAGCCCATGAAAAAGGTACCAGGGGCATCTAATGGGGCCCCCTACTGACCCCGGGCCCTCGGGCAGTGCCCGAGTTTCCAAATGGTCAGTCTGCCCATGGGCTGGGGGGATTCTGCAGCACAAAAGGCTTTTCATCTTAATTTACTACTGTTTAAGTTGGCCATGGAGTGTATGTGTGTATGCATACAAACAGGGAACTCAGATTGTAAGCTCCTTGGGAGCAGGAACTGATGTACAGTATTTAAAGCACTAGGTAAATAGTAGGTGCTATATAAATGCCTGTAATAAATAAATGCAGTTTTCAAAACCATGTAAAATGCAAATGTGATTCATGTATTATGCACAGATTATCTACATAATAAAACATATCTTTATTTTACCCCTAACCCTTTATTTAATTGAGAATATAACATAAAAAGCTAAGGTATGTAAAATTCTGCTTTTTTCTGTGCAAAATGTATTGTGAGTGTACAGCTGCTACATAAGTAGATTGTAAGCTCCAAGGAGCAGGGCCCTGCTAACCCTCTTGTATTAAACTGTATTGTTACTGTATTGTCTCCCGCTATAATGTAAAGCGCTGAGCAAACTGTTGGCACTATATAAATCCTGTATAATAATAATAAGTGGAAGATATATTTTGAGTCTCTTAACCTATAGATCTCTAGTACAGCTGCACTTTGCACTCCTTATCACTGAACCGCTTATCTTTTCTAATGAATCACATTTCATAATTTCTTTACATTTCAATTTTTATAGCGCAGACTATTTTTTAAACCAATCATTGCTGTTAGGCAAACTTTTTTTCATTGTACTTACTTTAAAGACATTGATTTAATAGCAACTAAAATTTGCAATCTAATAAAAGTTAACATTAATTAACAACTCTGAGGGGGCTACAGGATATTATTTTAGTTAAAAATGAATAGGAAACCAAGCTTTTATAAATCAAATCCTGACCTTGTATAGATAAGATTACTTGCTCTTAATTACTTCCCAACTTGTAGGAGATGTACAGTATGTCCTCAGTGGTTCAGATACAGAGGAAATAAGGCTGAAAATAAAAGTGCATAATAACATGGATAAGCCATAGCAAAATTTTCACCAAAAGAGAAACTGTAAAACGGCAGATTTTCTCAGGGTAAAAGTAATTTATCATTATTTAGTGCAACAGTGAAGAATGGTTGAGGTTCCTTACAGGTTTGGGGCTGCATTTCCTAGATTGTAAGCTCCAAGGAGCAGGGTCCTCCTAATCAGGGGCGGACTGACCATTTGGAAACTCGGGTACTGCCCGAGAGCCCGGGGTCAGTAGGGGGCCCCATGAGATGCCCCTGGTACCTTTTTTCATAGGCTCTTTTGAGTTTGGGCAAGGACACAGGGGCCCCATGATACCCTATTGCCCGGGGGGCCCCATGAGTTGTCAGTCCGCCCCTGCCTGGTACCCTTTTTCATAAGCTTTTTTGAGTTTGGGCAAGGACACAGGGGCCCCATGATACCCTATTGCCCGGGCCCCATGATTGTCAGTCCCCCCTATTGGTACCTTTTTCATAAGCTTTTTTGAGTTTGGCCCACAGGGGCCCCATGATACCCTTTGCCTGGGGGCCCCAGTTGTCAGTCCGCCCCTGCTCCTAACCCTCTTGTATTGAACTGTATCGTTGCTGTATTGACTCCCGTTATATTGTAAATCGCAAACTGTTGGTGCTATATAAATCCTGTATAATAATAATAATTTCTGCACATGGTGTTGGGGAATTGGCCAGAATTAATGGTGTCCTCAATTCTGAAAAGTAGAGGCAGGTAATTATCCATCATGCAATACTATCAGGGAAGCATCCAATGGGTTCCAAATCCATTCAACAGCAGAACAATGACCCCAAACATACAGACAAAATCTTCTTTTCAGCTAACGACTATTTACCAACCTTCAGCAAAAAGAAGAATAAGGAGTCCTATCTTGGTATGACCCCCAAAGAGCCTGCACAGATTAACAGTAACATCCTAAATCCACAGAACTGTGGTTAGTTCTTCTAGATGTTTGGAACAACCTACCTGCTGAGTTGCTTGAAAACCTTGTGAAAAGGTTGACACGCTAAACATTGATTTGATTTAGCTTATTTTACGTTTATGCATTTTGAAGGTTCTTAATTGAAATATAAAAACTATTCTTTCCATTAATTTTGAAAGCTTTCTCACATTACGACAATTTTAAAGTGCCTAAAATGTTTGCATTTTATGTAGCTCCTGGCGTATGCTGATGATGTAGACCTAACATCCTGCCCCATAGATGTCTTGAAAAATGTCCTTTCTCCTTTTAAAGAGCTGCCACAAAAATGGCATAAATAATAAACTAAAGAGAAGACAATCCACACATATAACAGTAGGAGAGTCTGATTTCATCAGATACAGCCATCCTTGTTAAATGCAATTCCTAAGGTGACTGTAGATAGTTTCAAGTACTCGAGTTCCTGTTGTTAACAAAGAATATAACTACAGAGACATAAAATACAATGCTCTGATGTCTATAGCCAAAAAAAGATAACATGGTCTTATGAAGCAGTTGAAATCCAGGTATTTGTCTGCAAGAAATGTCTATAGGATTCTGATATGGTTAGTACTTATATATTGGGCTTTCAAAATGAAAAGTATGACTCAGGGATATGAGATAAAGCCCTCTGAAAAAGGATATCACAATATTTCCAAAGCTAACAATGAGAATGAGATCTAATGGCTGGTTATGCTGATGTTGTGAAGTTCATGAAGGATGGGGGGGGGGGGTATTCTGCCCCAGAGATGGGCTTTAACCTCTACTTGCATCAGACGTGTGCTTTAAAGGCTGTGTATTTGGATTTTCATAAGGTGTATAATTATGCGGTTTGCTTATAAGCTAAAATATCTTGCTGCATTTCACATTTATATATATATATATATATATATATATATATATATATATATATATATATATACAGTGGGGATTGAAAGTTTGGGCACCCCAGTTAAACATTTGTATTAATGTGCATAAAGAA